TGCCGCCAGCCAGGTCACCATTTGCCTGGAATGGCATGGGCACTCCTGAGAGACAAGATCAAAGAGGGTTCCCATTGTTGGTATTCTAGAGGGAAAGGGACAGCACTAGCTAACCCTCTCTCTTTCCAGGCTCGATTCCTTGGTTTTCTGCAGCTGATTTCCTATAGATCAGGGGGAGCATGCGCTTGAGCCTGAGAGCTCCCCACAAGCCTGCTCTGCTGACTGGGTCGTAGATCCCAGCAGTCAGTTCTAGTGGAAATGAGAGGGATTGAGAGTCTCACCATACCCGTGATGAATGGGTTACTGTAGCCAAGCCTGTGACTGCACCAACCCCCGTACTGGGGCTCAGGAGAATGAAGGGAATTTTCAGTCATGCATCTAATTAGGGACAGAGTGGGGTTGGTGCCCAGGGGGCTGACTCCACGGCCAATGCTTTTGCTGAGAAAGGAGCTGCATTCAGGATTTCTATGGGCTTGGATGAATTCTCCCTTTCTACTTTGAAATCAGGATCCCTAACTCAGCCACACACTCTTAAGAGCATTTCCACGATGCCGGTGCAGGGCGCTGGCTAAAGCCTGGTTACGTTTCCAAGGTCCCTATGCCTGGGGAACACAGTATGTTGTGTATGGTCATGATCATGGAAGGTTGTGTGACTGCAGGTGGGGTGTGGAGTTGATAGAGCAAGTCAGAGATAATACCCAGAAAATGATCTTGATGTTCAGCAAACACAGCCTGTCGATAACCTTTAAGACATTTCCTCCTCCTTCTTCATGGTTTTGGGGCCCAATTATGGGGCTGTCGGATATCCACAGAAGTAATAAGAACTAGTACTTATTCAAACTTTAAACAAAGATCACATATTATGCCAAGTGCTTTACACACATTATCTCTTTTCATTGTTACAACAATCCTTCCAAGAGACACTGATCTTTGCCCCGTCTAGCGATGAACACTGGGCATCTAGAGCCAAGTCCAACTACTACTACCTCTCTAGAGGCAAGCATAGTCACTACTGGGTATCTAGAGGAAAACACAGTCACTGCTGGGTATCTAGAGGAAAACGCAGTCGCTGCTGGGTATCTAGAGGAAAACGCAGTCGCTACTGGGTATCTAGAGGAAAACGCAGTCGCTACTGGGTATCTAGAGGAAAACACAGCCACTACTGGGTATTGAGAGCCAGGTGTGATTACTGCTGGGTATCCAGAGGCAGGCGGGATCGCTACTGTAGGATATCCAGAGTCAGGTGGGATCCTTCCTGGGTATCCAGGGGCAGGTGCAATCACTACTGGGTATCCAGAAGCAAGTCCCACTACTGTTAGGTATAGAGACCTTAGTTTTTGCTCAGTACCCTCACAGTTCATTCCCATTGAAGTGGAGAGAAGACGGAACCGAGCAGGTCAGGGAATCAGTTCTAAATCCCACAGTTAATAAGAAAAGGCTCTAACAAGGGAAACTGAGTCCCCTCTTTCTAGGTTTGGCTGTCTTCCCATTATGCCATGTGACATGAGCAAGAATCCTGTATCTCTTTGATCTGGAGATTCCTAAACCGTACCTGCAGGATGGAAATCAGCACTGCAAACCAGTTATGGTGAGTAATGGAACTCCAAAGATACCCATGTCCTAATACCCAGAACCTGTGATTATTATCTTCTTTGATGAAAGGGACTTTGCAGATGTGATTAAGTTGGGATCTTGAAGGTATTGTCGTGGATTATCCAGCCGGGTCCTCACAATAATCACAAGGGTTCTTGCAAGAAAGAGGCAGGAGTGGTCAGAAGAAGGTGACGCAATGGTGGAAGCAGGAGGGGAAAAGTCAGTGTGATGTGGGAACCAGGTGCCAAGGAGTGAGGAAGTTTCTAGAAGCTGGAGAGGGCAAGCAATGGATGCTCCTCTAGAGCCTCCAGAAGGAGTAGAGCCCTGCCAATATCTTCATTCTAGTCCAGTGAGGCCTCTGGCCTCTGCAGCCATGAAAGAATAATTTTGTGTTGTCTGAGCCCCTGTTTGTGATAACTTCTTATAGCAGCCATCAGAAACTAGCGCAACACCGCCAGGATGGGTTCCAGATGAAACCACTTTGGGAAAGGTGGGCTAAGCAAGGGCCTGTGGGCTGTCTCCAGCCTGTGTGTGCTGTCTGTGTTCTGACCACTCAGGAGGGAAAGACATCACATCACGTGCTGTTTCCCAAGCTCATACCTTAAGGAATGTCTTGAGAATTTGGGAGTAAGTCTGAAGTAACTCATGGCTTCCACTCCCACTTGGAAAGGGCTCTGAAGGAATCAGGACTGAGGGTGGTGACTTTTGAAAGTAGAGATTTGGAGGGGGTCTTGGGGGCATGGCACCCCAGTGTATCCGTCTTCTATGGCTGTTGTAACAAAATACCTCACACTGGCTTGGCTTTGACACACACTGGGTGGCTTAAACAACAGAAATTTATTTTCTTACAGTTCTGGAGGCTGAAAATCCAAGCTCAAGGTGCTGTTAGGGTTGGCCTCTGGTGAGGGCTCTCTGCCTGCCTTGTAGATGGTTTTTTCACTCTGTCCTCCCATGGTCTCTTTCCGGTGAGCCCACACTGGACACACACATACACACACACAAACACACACACACACACACACACATACACATACACACATACACATACACACACATACACCCCAAGAGAGGGGGTGGGCAGGGGAGAGAGTGAGCTCTATGGTTTCTCTTCCTCTTCTTACAAGGGCATCCATCTTATCAGATTAGGGTGCCACCCTTAAAGTCTTATTTAACTTTAATAATCTCCCTAAAGGCCCTATCTCTACAGTCACAATGAGAGCTAGGTCTTCACCATAAGAATTTGGGGGAGATGCAATTCAGTCCATAACACCCAGGGTGAGTACATAGGATGGGCAAGTGGCCAGAATATGCAAATTTGTTGTCCTAGAGCCTAGCAGGGCATGGGAAGGGATCAAAGTGGGGAGGTGGTCTCTGGGAGAAGGGCTAAGAAACCAGTGCTGGCCCCTGTGATGCCTTGCCCTGCTAAGCACAGGTGCTCCTCTGCTTGGCCCCAGCCTCCCTGCCCTCTGTTCCATGGTCCTGGGCCTCATGCGGATTGAGTGGGACCAGTTCAGGAGCCTAAAAGATGTCTCTCAGGACCTGGCTGACAGTTCTGCTCTGAAGTGGAGGCATCGGTCTTGATTATTGGTAGGGTGACCAACCATTCCAACTTGCCTGGGGCTAAGGAATTTCAGATGGTATGGGATATCCAGTGCTGAAACAGGCAAAGACCTTGGCAAACTAAGTTAGCCACCTGAGTTATTAGGCTCTTGCCTTGTTCTGGGATCCAGCCTCTAGCTCCTGATCTAGGGCTTGTGTCTTAGTAGCTTTTCCACTTTTCTTGTCTTCTCTTCTCAGTCTTTGAGACAGTCTTGGGGCTGTTAATCTTGCCTTAAACATCTGCTGTTGTCTTTTCCCTTTTGCGGCCATCATCAAAGTGGGGACTGCCAAAATGATGTCCAATCCCTTTGTGACTTCTGACCAAAGCAAGAATTGCAAAATGCATTTAAAGGCACCTTCCCACATTTGCAAGAAGATTGTGTCCCCGCTCTTTCCAAGGAGCTGAGACAGAAGAACAACGTGCGATCCATGCCCATCTGAAAGGATGATGCAGTTTAGGTTGTACAAGGACACTATAAAGGTCAGCAAACTGGAAAAGTAGTTCAGATTTAGAGGAGGCAATATGTTATCTACACTGAACGGGCTCAGCAGGAAAAGGCCAATGGCACAACTGTCCACCTACTTGTCCCAGCAAGGTGGTTATCACTAGGCTAAAACTGGACAAAGATCACAAAAAGATCCTTGAATGGAAAGCCAAATCTCACCATGTAGGAAAGGAAAAGGGCAAATACAAGGAAGAAACAATTGAGCAGATGCAGGAATAAAGTAATCTTATATGCAAGCTTTGATTAAAACTTGAAATGAAAAAAAATCTGCTATGATCTTTCTTAATCAGCCACCATGCCTCCCTCTGCCCATCAACTGCCTGCCTTCATGAGCTAAACATACTGGCGCTGCCTTCCTTTGACCATCCTTCCATCCATCCATCCATCCATCTGTCCTTCCTTCCTTCCTTCATTCTTCCTTCCTTCCTTCCTTCCTTCCATCCATTTATCCATCCATCCACCCATCCAACCATCCATCCACCTATTATCCATTCTTCCATCCATCCTCCATCCTTCCCTCCATCCATCATCCAACCATCCATCCACCCATTTATTCATCCGTCCATCCATCTATCCACTTAACCATCCACCCATCCTTATAGCCTTCCATCATCCTTCCTTCATTTCATTTCTCCAATATCAATGTTTATTGAGCTCTAACCATGACCCAGAAAATACCCCTGGCCTCAAGAAGAGAGATTAATATCTCAATAGATAAACTAAAGACAGAGCGTCGATGCTCTGACAGATGTCTCCAGAGTAAAGACACATAGGAGGAATGGTCCATTCTCCCATGGCTGAAGAGAGGAATGGAATAGGAAAAGCTTTGTAATGATGGTGACCTTGAATCTGAGATTTTGAACCATGTCTAGGCTCTTATCAGTCCTGGCTGGGTAGAGAGGAGTGAATGTACAGAAGAGCTTATAGCACAGCAGCGAGAGGCTGCATTTTGGTCTGAGAGAGCCACAGGAGTGAGAGCAGCACAGCCTGAAGCAGAGCAGGTAGTGGGGCACCAGAAGCCTGTCAGAGAGAAGGAGGGGAGGACAGAGTGAAGCCCGGGCCAGATCAGGGCCAGATGGAAGGTTTGGAAGTCCTGCTGGGGTAGGAAACAGGGTTGAACTTCATTGTGTAAGAGAAGGAGGAAGAAATTCTGTTTGGCTGTCATGGGTATGGTCACCTGGAAATCAAGACAGGACCAAGTGACACTGCTGTGATAATCTAGGGGAGAGATGAGGGTGGTGGGCACCAAGCCAGCAGAGGTGGGGCTGGAGCAGAGGAGACACATTAAAGAAGCAGAGTGGACCCGGTGTGAGGTGAGGGGTAGGTTTTGGAAGCCTGTATGATGACGAGTTCAGTTTTGGACCTGGTGAGCCTGAAGGGGCTGTGGTGCCTGCTGGTGGAGATGACACAGGTGAATGGGTCTAAAGAGAGATTTGGAGGGAAGAACAGAGACTGGAACTAAAGTGAAGGAAGCACATGGGGTCTGGGGCATCCAGGGGTGAGGGGAGGACAAGAGAAGAGGATGAAGCATAGAATGCTGAGACCCTTGGCATAAGCCTGAGTGGAGAGAGAGAGAGAGAGAGCGAGAGAGAGCGAGCTTACAAAGGTGATGGCTGGGAAGGAAGAGGACGAGGGCAGATAGCAAGGGAGGACAAGGGAGGCCACTGTCGGTGTCAGACGCAGCAGAACATTTGAGTAGGATGAGGATGGCCACTGGTCCACAGAAGCCACCAAGGTGATCTTGGTGAGGAGGTAGGAACAGAAACCCAGGGACAGCAGGCTGAGAATTCAAGGGGATGGTCAAGGCAGATTGCTCCCTGAGGAGAAGGCTGGGAAGGAGGTGGAGCAGATGGAGCTGTGGATTGGATGGAGGGACTTCCCAGGTTTGGGGGGAAGAAGCTGAACGGAGGGTAAAGGTGGTTATTAATGGAAGGAAATTTCCCCCAGATAGCAGGAGGCCAGGAGAACAGACAGCTGTTTGTCAGGAAGAGCAACACCTGTTCTTGTGAAATTGGAGGAAAAGAGGAATGTTAGTTTTCTGGGGCTGCCATAATTCATCACCACAAACTGGGTGGCTTGAAACAGTAGGGATTCACTCTCAAGCAGTTCTGGAGGCCAGAAGTCTGAATCAAGGTGCTGGCAGACTCGTGTTCCCACTGAAGTCAGCCACTCCAGGAGAGCTGAGAGCTTGAGCGGGTGGCTCTGAGGATGTGTGACCTTGGCTGGCCACATCTGGTCTATTCTCCGGCCCTGCTCAGCATCTCAGTAGCCAGAGAGAAGGCCAGGGTTGGCAAGGGCTGACCACCGCTGGCCTGATGGGGCAGCCTCCTTAACTCGGTCTTGATGTCCTTTCTAGAACACATGGTTGACTTCATGCCCAGTTCTTGTTGAATGAGCATTCTTCTTTCAGAATAGCTGTTAACTCCACCTAAGGACCAGGTAGGTCATGGTCAATTTTTTCCATTGGCATCAAGAGCAACAAAGAGCTCTCTTCTCCATAGGAGAGTTTCATTCCATAGATTATTATGCAACAGTGTTGAGCAGAATGCCTTTAAACGGAGGCTCTTACTGTCCCACCTGCCTGGGCCCCATCACTGGCAGCCCACTTCATCTGTTTGGGTGACCTGCCCAGCCCTGGCAGGCATACACAGTTGTCACCCTTGTTCTACAGCACACAGCTGTGACAAAAGATGAATGGGAGAACAGCAGTTAATGTTGGCAAGGCACTAATGCTGAACTACTAGCTTAAGTGCTGTACGTACAGGAATACAGCAAACATCCACGATAGGCTTATGAGTTAGGTAATATCATCTCCATTCCATAGGTGAGGAAACTGAGGCACAGAGAGACCACCCAAGTCCCTCACCCAGTGTTATGGGTTGAATTGCCCCTGACCCTCCAAATTCATGTGTTGAAGCCCGCACCCAGAATACCCCAGGATGTGACCTTATTTAGAAATAGGGTCCTTGCAGAGGTACTTGGTTAAAATGAGGTCATACCAGAGTAGATTGTGCCCCTACTCCAATATTACTGGTGTTCTTTTACAAAGGAGGAATTTGGACACCAGCACGCATGCAGAAAGAACTCCCCAGGAGGAGGAAGACAGAGATTAAGGGACGTTCAAGATTGCCAGAAAGCCTTGAGAATCTGGGGGAGAGGTGAGGAATAGATTCTTCATCACTGAGCTCAGATTCCTGGCCTCCACAACTGAGAGACAATGCATTTCTGTTGGTTAAACCACACCGTTGTGGTCCTCCTTAGAGCAGCCCTAGCAAAAAATATCCTCAGTAACTGTTGGATTTCAGATTCAGATTTAAACATCCTGGCTCCAAAGTCCAGGTTCTATACTTGGATGCTTGCAGCCTCTTGATAACTGCTGGAAAGCACTTGGCACCGTGCCTTGCTCATTGCAGGTGCTCAGAGCACGGGAGCTGTTTGTCTTAGTTCTGCCTCTTCTTCCAGAAGGGCCTCCTCCCAGGCAGTCAGGGATGGAGCAGACTCCTGTGTGCCCTTCATCTGCTCCATGGATTCAGAAGTCAGGGGTTCCCAGGTCTGTGTCTTCAGCGGATCCAATGTCCATCCTCCCATTTCCACTGCCACAGCTGCTGTGGGTCTCTGTGCCCAGAGAACACCGCCATGTACAGGTGAAGAAATTAAGATCCAAACAGGTAATGCAATTGCCCCACAGTGCATTGTTAGTGAAGAAGCTGGGGCTGCAGCCTTATCTGACTCCAAATTTTAAGCGCCTCCCTTACACTGGGGAGGTCCCTCTGGCTTCCTGGCTAGCAGCCCATGAAACTATAATATATTAATAATAAGAAATGCACATTTAGTCTCTGGCCTGAGTGCCTGAGACAGGGTTTCTACCACCCTTGTAGATAAGCGTACTAAGAGAATTGTTTGTTTAATATTTTGTCTTTGACTTGATTCCTGAGAGCTTAGTAATTTCCAGAGTAATAAGATCATCTGATGAAGAGTTTCTGGATCTCTTGCAGTTTCTTGGGTGACAGGAGCATCTTTTGTTCTAGTGAGGCAAGTCTTGGTGGGCTCCTGGGTAGTCTCATAAGGGATCTGGTTACCAGGGAAACCAATCATGGAATTAGAGGATTGGAGCTTACAGCCCACCTTGCTCCTCATGACCTCCAGAGATGGGAGAGAGGCCGCAGGCTGAGTTGATCACCAGTGGCCAATAATTAATCAATCATGCCTATGTAATGAAACTCCATAAAAACCCCAAAGGAGAGGGTTTGGACACTTTTGGACAGCTGAACCCATGGAGGGTCCTGGAGGGTGGTACAAAGGGGAAGGACCACCTGGAAGGTGCCACTGTGGAAGCTCTGTGCCCAGTACCCCATACCTGGCCCTCTGACTCTCTTTTATCTAGCTACTCATCTGTATCCTTTGTTAATCTAGTAGACCGGTAAGCATAAGTATTTCCCTGAGCTCTGTCAGCCCTCCTAGCTAATGAATTGAACCTAAGGAGGGAGTTGTGGGAACCCCGCTTTATAGCTAGTTGGTCATAAAGTATAGGGGACAGCCTACTGCTTGCAACTGGCATCTAAAGTGGGGGCCATCTTGTGTGACAGAGCCCTTAACCTGCCGGATCTGAAGTTATCTCCAGGTAGATAGTGTCGGAATTGAATTGAATTGAACTGCAGGACACCCAATTAGTGTCCACTGGACAATTTGGTGGCCGGAGGAATCCCACACACATTTTGGTGACCAGAGGTGAACTGCAGTGTTGAGAGCTTGAAGGCATTTGTTTTCTCCCAGGTGCTGAATGGAAGAATAAAACATTGAATAAACCTACGCTGCATTTCTCTACACACAAATTTACTAGAGTCATGCAAACTTGTCACCTTTTCCTAGGCTATGCCATGACCACTCTTACCACTCACATTGGCTTCCTCTGCCCTTCCCCCCAGTTGCAAAGTACAGAAAGTCTTTGTTTTCCTGATGGAAGATAACTCCTGAATTCACAAACATGCGTGACTCCTTCGAGCACTCACGGCTGCTCTTGAGAGGTCTGCCTCACTAGCGGTATAACAAGGGCCACACAAATGAGGGAACCCACCAGTGAACAGCAACAGGAAAAGTGGACTCAGGCGCTGCTCTACAGAGGCAAGAGCTCCCACATGAAGTCTTTTTAATTTTATATATATATATATATATTTTTAATGCTCCAAAAGGGCATTTTGAAATCTGAGGAGCTGAACCAAATATTTACCCAATCAATTCCAGGGCCACGTCAAGGGGTGAAGATACTGAACAAATAGCTCAGTGACCTTGCTCCTGGCTCAACCTTTTCTACTCATTCATTCATTTATTCATTCATTCATGCAACAAATACTAGTTGGGCCTCTCTCATATCCAGTTGGCACTGGGGCCAGGTGAGGTGAAGGAATGCACGGTGAACAGGGCCCCACCTTTGAGATGTCCTATCTAATAGGGATGGTGGGGGTGGGAGCAGACATTCTCATCAGGCTAACCATGCCTGATGGTGGGATGACAGTCTGCCTTAGGGAGATGAGGGGTTTCTGTGAGATCTTAAGAGAGTACAGATTCTAGGAGGTGGGACCCTATAGGGAACCTGGGAAAACAAGACTTTCTGTGACTGCAGTCATGGGGCACATGAGAGCAATAGGAAGAACTGAAGCAGAATGGGCAGGCAGTGAGCAGATCAGGGAGGGCTTCGGCTGTAGATAGAGTCTTTTGAACTGTATTTTGTAGGCAACAGGGAGCCATTGGCTATTTTTGAGTAGCAGAGGGATGGGATGAATCAGAATAAGGAGGCCTCACTCTTCAGGCTGAGTGGAGGGTGACTTGCTTCCTTTCTTTCTCCATCAGACCATAGCTCATTCGACACCACCACCCGCTGCCGTGCTGTTGCCATAGTAACCCTAGACCCTGGCCTTCTTCAGGCTTCTCTTCCGCTCTGGAATCGACTCACTCACCCGCCTCTGTGGGGCCAGAGGAGGGAGCGAGTCAGCCTGGGCCTTACTTTATTTCTTGCCTGGTTGTTGAAAAACAGACTCCAGCTTCCCAGGAGGCAGAAGGGGAAATGGATCACTCTTTGAGCTTAGCAGTCTTGCTTTTCTGCTAATAAAATCAAGGGGTACAAAGGAGGGTGTGCATTTCCCTGAGCCCCAGAGGCCTTGGGTGTCCTCAGGCATTTTATTGGACAGCTTCTCCTGAGTGAAGCCCAGAGCTGGTACGACTAACTCAAAATGGTGTTGCTGGACAATTTCCTTTTTGGAACTTTTCCTGGTCAAATTCTCCTGAGGCTGTACTCATGTCCAGCTCAGGGCTATATTTTAGGGGCAGGAAGGGAGAGAAACCCTTCTGGTCTTTCTCCTTCCATCTTCCTCCCTTTTGCAAGGACTTTTCCACTATAAAAGAGTGGTCTGTCTATTGCTCCAAATACCAATTTCCTGGTTTCCTTGCAACGAGCCTATTCCTGTGGTTGCAGCATTATTTGGACCAGGGATGGTGTCACACAAATCCTGGAATATTTTGATTCTTAAAGGATCATCAACACTGGAGGTGGCTCTCCTTCCTCTTTCCCTGATTACCTTCTTCTTGGTGAAAATTCTGGGTTTGTGACAGTGAGACGTCCTGCTTGCCAGAGCCAAGAGCCTGGGCCAGCTGGGTCTGGTTCTGAAGCCCATGGCTGAGTTTACAGTATCAGCCCTGGGCCTCCTGGACACTGAGCAAGAGCCCTGGAGGGGGCGTGGCAGGCAGCTACGATTCCCGAAGCCTAGAAGATTCTTTGAGCTGGTCCTAAAGTAACAGGCCCCATCTTTCAGTCCAGGACAGACTCTGAGGGGAGACTCCGCCCCCACTGGGTCTACCAAGAGAGGAGAGCTGAGGGCTGAATGCTTACCTAGAACCTTCTGGAAGCTCAGTTAGGAACTTCAGGCACCCGCATGGTGAGAAAGGGCCTATAAAAGTTCTGCCTTTTTGGAACTTCCCCTGGCTGGGACTCAGTGTCATTTTTCCTGAGTAGTGAAAGTGGCAACATGAGAAAGGTTTGGGATCCCCAGATGGCAGTGGGATTTGGTAGGGAGAGAGCCTGTGGTGGTAGCATGACTGTCAGGGCCACGGGAACGGGGGTAATAGAAATAAAGCTAATATTTGCGTAGCACTGTTGTAAGACTTGACATGTACAGTCACTGTTTAATCCTCCCAACAGCCGTACGAGGTCAGTAGTGACCCCGCTTTATAGATGAAGATACTGACACCTAGAGAGGTGAAATGACTCCCCCAGGATCACACAGCTTCTAAGGACCACAACCGGGACTTGCAACCAGGAATTCTGTTTTGAACATGCTGGCAACCTAGACGCCAAAGGGTGGGAGTGAAATGGGCTGCCTGGCGGGAGGGTGAGCCGCTGATAGGAAAGAGTGTGGGAACTGTTGCCAGGTTCTAAAAGCACAGAGTGAGCTGGGCCAAGGAAAAGGTGGGGTCCTTCCGGGCTGGACGGTTCCCAGCTCTAACTCTCCTGGGAACTCCATGTCCATGGTCAAGGGCGGGAGACCGTGCTGGAACCCAGCTGCTGCTGATGCCTTGACCATCAAGAAAACCCACAGGGCCTTGCCCAGAGAAATGCATTTGCCAGAGATCGCCGAGGCTCAGGGCAAACAGAACCACATCCCATCTACCTGCCTTGCCCTGTGGTAGGGGGTGGTTTATTCTCACAGACCCTGGGTGAACCCACTCCACATACTCAAACAGCCTGAGCTAGGCCAGAAAGGTGGGGAAACTGATGGCCCAACAGGGCAAGGATTTGCCCGAAGATCCAGAGCACAGAGACTGGATGTAAAAGCAAAAGGCCCCAGGTCTGCAATGCGCTCCTTGGACACAACCATTGTCCTGGGAGAGACATGGGCCACATCTCCGTAGCCACAGGAGGGGGCAGTGCCTCACTGGGTTCCCCTGACCAGGTCCCTGTGAAGGCCACCCTGGTAGCGTCACCAAGCCCCCTTGGCCAGGTCCCTGTGGAGGCTGCCCTGGTAGCGTCACCAAGCCCCCTTGGCCAGGTCCCTGTGGAGGCTGCCCTGATGGTGTCACCAAGCCCTCCTGGCCAGGTCCCCGTGGAGGCTGCTCTGATGGTGTCACTAAGCCCTCCTGGCTAGGTCCCCGTGGAGTCTGCTCTGATGGTGTCACTAAGCCCCC